ATTTAATGTGAATTTTTTATTTTTCATTAAAATTTTCCACCAAAAAAATAACTTAAATACTAATCAAGTAATCAGTAATCAGAGAGGGAGTGAATGAATAAGAGAGAGAGAGAGAGAGAGAGACTTCAAAAGAGATAACTATCCTATTTATGGTCGGGTAAGGGAAGGGATGGGACGGGTATTAAGTGGAGGCGTGCGGTATCTCAATAGGATTCAAACGCAGACAATAAAGTGTTGAGACAAACAAATATTACATCAAAATAAAAATAAATAAAATATGCCGTAAAAAAGCAAACAAAATTCAATTAACAAAACAATAATAACCGAGAGATAAAAGCAAGTCTAATAAACCCACCAAAAAAGCACATGATATTAACTAAATACAAAAAACCCACAGATATATCACACATACATACAGAGCGCACCTATAGACCAGCCCTACCCGGGCTAACACCTACCCCTCATAAGTGCTTAAAAGAGTTAACAAACAAACAAACAAAAAAATATTCAATCAATTTATTTTGTACTCAAAAAAGTTGCAAAAAATTACGCTAAAAAAGTTGCCGCAAACATATATTCAGACCAAAATCGCTCGGCATTTGGGGGTCAAAGATGGCAACCAATAGCTGGGGGTGGGGGTGATGGGGGTATGATTATGGTAGACTACATACCGGTGTGGGTGCGTTTGTGGGCTTTGAGATGTGAGCTCTTGGTGTAAACCTTTTCGCATCCGTCGAAATCGCATTTATGCACTTTCCGTCGGCGCAAACTTTCCGTGTAGTAGTCGGCGGCCCCGCCCGAGCCCAGCGCTCCCGGCGGTGATGAGGCACTGCCGGTGTGGTTGCCGTTGTTGTTGTGGTGATGATTACCACCGGTGGACAACGTGTGCGACTGTAGGGCAGCCGATATGACGGCCGCCGCGGCCGCCGACGAGGACAGTGCGCCCGACATGAGTGAGTTGCTGGCGTTGGCCAGTGAGCCGATGCCCGCACCGCCGCCGTTGAGCATTGCGGCCGCGGCTGTTGTTGTGGCCTATAGTTTGCAAAAGTTATAATAGTTTGTTTAAATATGTTGATTGGTTTTAAAATTAAGCTAGTTAATTATTTTTGTCAATAATTTTTATAAATTGTTTTAACATGTTTATTTAATTTATTATTTTTTGTAATCATGTGAGTGGCCCAGAATGTCCGGCGCCCACACGCTTATCATAGGACCTTGATTATAATTTATACCCTTGCTAAATGCAATAATTATAACACCTGTTTGCAATAAACAATTAATTATTTTTTGTTAGTGAATTAAATACACATTAAATATCAAACATTTCAACACTTGTTATCAATCAATCACTTTTGTGGACACATTTGGTTTGAAATGTAATTAATATTGCATTAAATCAAAACTATTACCCANTTAAATACACATTAAATATCAAACATTTCAACACTTGTTATCAATCAATCACTTTTGTGGACACATTTGGTTTGAAATGTAATTAATATTGCATTAAATCAAAACTATTACCCAATCCTACGATATATACGCAAAAAAAACATTAAATTAAATCTATTTAATTAGTTATAAAAAAATTAATTTAATTTATTACAAAAATAAAACATTATTTACAAAACGCTATCAAAACTAAAAAACAAAAAACTATTAAAAACTCATAAAAAAAGTGCTAAATATCTGTCCATATAATGAACTAATGGGCAAAAAATCAACACAAATATTACACAAATCACTAATAATGGTAAACAATAGTCACAAAAATTACATACCAGTGCCGATGAGCCGAGCAATGGTGACGTGGGGACAGCCATCGCGGGCGATATGGGCGACGTGGGTATCCGACCCCCACCACCTCCAGCCCCTAACAAACCATTGGCGGCCACAGCGGTGGCAATGGCCGACCCGTTGTGGTGCCGATGCAGTAAACTGGCCGCCGCTGCGGCCGCGGCAGCCGATGCCGCGGCGGCCGACGAGTGGTGATGATTATTATGATGGTTACTATTATGATGAGACTGTCGCCGGTGATGGTGACTGTCCTTATGGTTATGGCTGTGCCGGTGGCTGTTGAATAGGTGGGACTGTTGGGTGAGTCCGACACTACTTGTGTGATGGTTATGGCTATTGTTGGTGATGTTATTTTGATGATGGTTATTGTTGTTGGTGTTGTTCATGTGGCCGCTATTATGATTGTTATGGCTATTATTACGATGATTATGGTTAATGTTGTTGTGATTGTGGTTGTGTTGGTTGCGGCGATGTAAATACGCTAGTTGCGCGATCATTTCCAATTTGGACCCTGGTAAGTATCCAAAGTCTATGGGTGGTAGAGGTTGGGGTTAATAATCATGGTTATCATTAATCAGTATTAGTGTTATAATTAAAGTTTAGTTTCTGGTTTTTTCTCTCTATGTATTTGCATTTGTGGCCCAAAAATATCAGTCATTTTTTATTGTAAATGAAATGCTTATTTGATTTAATATAACAGTAATGCTATGCAAATGATACATAAGTTTTTTGGGCTATAATTTAATTCGCGATTTAATAATACAAATGACTTTTATGTTTGATATATTCAGGCAACTGATGCTCTCTCTCTCTCTCTCCACTGAAATCAAAAGACATGAAAACACAAAATGATTACAAAAAACTATTTCTTTCTTTTCATTATTTTTATTTCATACAATAATTCATAGGAATTACTTGATTTGAAAATTACTTTTCTCTCTCTCTCTCTCTCTCTCTCTCTCTCTCTCTCTCTCCACTTAATGTTTAATATATTTATATCTCATATTTGTTTCAAATATAATCAGTTTTAATGTGTTTTTTAAACTTTTTTTGCTCAAAAAACTCTACATTTAAGTTAAGAGTATTTCTTTCTGTGAAGTATTTATTTTGGACTGAATTTTTAATTTAAACTTTTTTTGGGATCAAATCTATGCCACAAACAGTTGGAAGTCATTTGTTAAAACATCTCTCTCTCTCTCTCTCTCTCTCTCTCTCTCATTCATTCACTCCCTCTCTGATTACTGATTACTTGATTAGTATTTAAGAAAGTTTTTTGGGCTATAATTTAATTCGCGATTTAATAATACAAATGACTTTTATGTTTGATATATTCAGGCAACTGATGCTCTCTCTCTCTCTCTCTCTCTCTCTCTCTCCATGTTATGAATGATTATCAGTCAAAAAATATGAAATAATAAATCGAGGTGATTTTCACAGGCCATAGGAGAGCTGCATTTACTTTGTATACACTTATTATAATAATATAATGAATTGTTTTTGAATTCAATAATGTTTTACTAATACCACAAGTCGTATGAAAAATGATCACTCGTTTTGTGGCTTAACTTCACTAATAGTGTACATTAGAGTACATTATATACAATACAAAAAACGACATTCATTAAATATATTAGGATGTAATTTAATACCAATACTACAGCTGAACATACTAAAGTGGCCAGGGCAATTTTAAGCTATAAGTCAAACACTATGGTCCTCCCCGGCCTATGTCTGTCCCCTACTAACTAATGACCAGATATTTATTATATGTATTTATTTGATTCATGTATTTTAAATACGAGTAATTTTTTTTGCTGTCCAATAAATCCCATGTTATTCCTATGGTATCCCAAATAGCAGTGCAGATAAATAACAGTTAAATTAATTTGTTTCCTAAAACTTTTTACATTAATGGAATTATTTTGAAATACAAAAATCATTGCAAAACCACTCAAAAGGAAAACCAGTAATTAATAGGTAGAGAGAAAGATGTTTGTTAATTAAATACATTCATTAATTATAATAACTATTTTTATGCAATAATTATATGCCGAGAGAGAGAGAGAGAGAGAGAGAGAGAGAGAGAGAGAGTTCGTAATGTTGTTAATATTCACAACCATTAGTCGGGAAGAGATCTCTCTAATATAATAAAGTTATTTTCTGCCCAAAAAACTATTTTATTTTACGGTATAATCTGAATCCAACCTAAATCTCTCTCTCTCTCTCTCTCTCTCTCTCTCTTATTCATTCACTCCCTCTCTGATTACTGATTACTTGATTAGTATTTAAGTTATTTTTTGGAAAATATTTTAATGAAAAATAAAAAATTCACATTAAATATCGCAGCAAAAAAGTACTCAATTTTTTGGGTGATTTGAATTTCAATTAACAGCCAAACCACTAGTGGTTCGCATAATTCACACCATATCTTAAACGTTAAAAATTTCATACAAAAAGTGGTACTTTTGGGAGTATATGATCGCTTTGAACAGCAAAAAAAACTTGATAATTATTTATATATTTGTTAATTTCTGGTGAGAATTAAAAAATAATAACTTTTATGAAAAATTTTAAGACAGAGAGAGAGAGAGAGAGAGAGAGAGAGAGAGAGAGAGAGAGAGATGTTTTAACAAATGACTTCCAACTGTTTGTGGCATAGATTTGATCCCAAAAAAAGTTTAAATTAAAAATTCAGTCCAAAATAAATACTTTACAGAAAGAAATACTTTTAACTTAAATGTAGAGTTTTTTGAGTAAAAAAAGTTTAAAAAACACATTAAAACTGATTATATTTGAAACAAATATGAGATATAAATATATTAAACATTAAGTGGAGAGAGAGAGAGAGAGAGAGAGAGAGAGAGAGAGAGAAAAGTAATTTTCAAATCAAGTAATTCCTATGAATTATTGTATGAAATAAAAATAAAATACAAAAATAATTTCTCATTCAAAGACTCGTTATTTTTTGGTTAAATCTTTATTAATTTGAAATACTTTTTTCCCATTCATTTCAATCACTAATCCAATGATAGAGAGAGGGAGAGAGAGAGAGAGAAATAGATTTAAAACTTCAATTATTTGTTGAATAACTTAATCAAAAGAGAAAATTGTGTGAAAAACCATTTTAAAAAAAATTAAAAAACGGGAAAATTTATTTTGTTTTTTCACATAAAAACCTTAATCCTATTTAACAACATATAATTATATTACTTTTTTATATTGATAGTATATTAAAATTAAATAAGATCAATAGAATATATATTTGTTTACCAAACAATTCTTTAACATAGATCCAACATATCATTCCGATATAACAGTACACAACTAAACAACCACTATGGTCAGATGAATCTCCCACGTACAGTTAATATAAATGATATCTCTATAGCCCATAAAGTAAAGGAAATATACATCATATCCATAACAATACCTCACACAACATGGTATAAAAACCACATGAAAAACACTAATAAATCATTTTATATATTAATGAATGAAAAGCCCTTTTTGTCCGTAAAATCTGTTCACTAGTTATGGCTTTTACTAACTCTTTGAGTGCGAGAGAGAGAGAGAGAGAGTCAGGGAAAAGAGAAAAAGGGTCATTGACTGACTGTCTGACCACTGGCATCAGGGACAAACACCCTTTTACATTAGTGCAGTTAATACATATGCAAATATGTGTAAATTATCATAGTAAATGATGGCCAAAACTTACCAGTATCAGTCTTTTTGAGCCGCAAATCAATGCAGGTGGGAGTGGCGGTGGAAAGGGTGGCGGCCAGCGATGGTGAGCCCGTGCGGGCACCGGAGCGTGCCGGTGGTGACCCGGGGCTAGTGCCAGATGTTTTACCAGGACAATTTTTGCCCATTGACAGGTCCACTGGCTCCATTTGTATGGGCGGGCATTCGGCCTATTTTATGAGTTTGTTATTTTAGTTTTATGCATGGTGAATGTTTTATTATTTTTTATATTTATGTGTCTGTTTGTCAAATAATTTGTTACCCTTTTTTGCGCACATAAACCGCTGGATATTTTATGTATTTGTTATGTATTTAGTTAACACTCCATAAAGTCGTATATCATCCGGGTATACGGTATAGTGACTACACTGTATGTTATATGAACACCAAGAAAAAACACCTTTGTATTTGTATAGTGTGTCCAATGGTAGACAATGGGTTGACATTTGCCTACAATAATAGGGGCATATGTTTTTTCTATCCGGATTGATTTCAATAGTGTACTGTTATTTACTGTATATAGTGAACTAAATAACGGTATGTTCACAATGTTTGCATGGTTAGTTTACTGTAATATATTTTTTAAAAGCATAAAGATCAAACTGTGTTTTTAATGGTGAATAACCCTACGGTATTTGCATAGGTGTGCAATTGTGTACTGTACTGTTTACTATATCAGGTACTTCACTATGATTTTAAGTTTATCACATACTGTAGTGACTAATAAAATAGATATAATGCACAGGTAATCGGGTGTTAATTGTGTGAATAAGGGTATGGATTTGTATCTCCAGATATAAGCTGCAAATTATTGCTGTAATCCATTGATTATAACAATTGTGCGATAGGTTATCAATTCATTTTAAATATAACTAGTTCATATTGCATAATTATTAAGGGCAATTTGTAACAGTAAGCTAAACTACAATTTTATATGTGACAAGTTATAGCACAATTAATTTATTATTTTGTAAAACTTATATAAAGTTAACAATGTACTGTATTAGCGTATATTTAAATAATTATGCTAATGTATTAATTGTGTTGTAAGTTACATGTTTAAAACAAAATAATTCAATTACAATTCTCACCTGAGATTCCGTTTGTCTCTCCGACTGTCTGTCCGTCTGTGTGTCGACCATAATGTTTTACTTGACAAATATTGTTTTTGATATTAAAATCTAGATAAAACACAAAAAACAATACAAATTATTAGCACAATTATTAACAATTATAATAAAACATCAATGTCAAGAATAAAGTAATTAAAAAATAAAGTTATCAAGCCAATTTTATATCCCATATTAGCACACACTATAAGAATATCACACACCCATAAGAAAGTGGCATTTATGATACCAATAATCAGTAGCTATGATAATAATATTATGATAGATACCCAATATATTCTATGGGCTGTCACATCCCTATCCCCTAAACACCCGATCCCTACCCCTAAACACACACATCACTGGTCGTAGTCGTCAGTGAAGAGGAATTAATAAATCAATTAATATTACATACAATGAATGCATACAAAAAATCACAGGTACAGCACTAGTAGCCTAACCCAAGCGCAGCATTTAATATATGGGCTTTAAGGTGCGACAGAGGCCAGGGATGGATAGACACTGGCACTCAAGCATACGGTACGGGGTATTGATCACAACCACTCCATTGGGAGCACTCATACACTACACTATTCATAAAGTTATATATATAAAAAATTTCAATATAAATCACGTGCGAAATACAGGGTATAACTACTTGTTATAAGTATAGCAGAAATGGCAGCACTTATTGCGCGAGCATTTGAATGCGAAGCGCGTGTTAACAATACGCTAGAGATTTGGTCGGAGAGGGAGAGAGAGAGAGAGAGAATTTGTTATGTATTTAGTTAACACTCCATAAAGTCGTATATCATCCGGGTATACGGTATAGTGACTACACTGTATGTTATATGAACACCAAGAAAAAACACCTTTGTATTTGTATAGTGTGTCCAATGGTAGACAATGGGTTGACATTTGCCTACAATAATAGGGGCATATGTTTTTTCTATCCGGATTGATTTCAATAGTGTACTGTTATCTACTGTATATAGTGAACTAAATAACGGTATGTTCACAATGTTTGCATGGTTAGTTTACTGTGATGTATATTTTTTAAAAGCATAAAGATCAAACTGTGTTTTTAATGGTGAATAACCTTACGGTATTTGCATAGGTGTGCAATTGTGTACTGTACTGTTCACTGTATCAGGTACTTCACTATTAAGTTTATCACATACTGTAGTGACTAATAAAATAGATATAAAGCACTGGTAATCGGGTGTTAATTGTGTCAATAAGAGTATGGGTTTGTATCTCCAGATATAAGCTGCAAATGATTGTTGTAATCCATTGATTATAGCAATTGTGCGATAGTTTATCAATTAATTTTAAATATAACTCGTTCATATAATAATTGCATAATTATTAAGGGCAATTTGTAACAGTAAGCTAAACTACAATTTTATATGTAACAAGTCATAGAACAGTTAATTTAATATTTTATAAAACTCATATAAAGTTAACAGTGTTTAATTAGCGTATATTTAAATGATTATGCTAATGTACTGTATATTAATAGTGTTGTACTTGTTTAAAATAAATAATTCAATTACAATTCTCACCTGAGATTCCGTTTGTCTCTCCGACTGTCTGTCCGTCTGTGTGTCGACCATAATGTTTCACTTGACAAATATTGTTTTTGATATTAAAATCTAGATAAAACACAAAAATAATACAATTTATTAGCACAATTATATAAAACATCAATGTCAAAAAGTAAAGTAATTAAAAAAATAAAGTTATCAAGCAAAATTTTATATCCCATATTAGCACACAGTATAGTGTGAATATCACACACCCATAAGAGAGTGGCATTTATGATACCAATAATCAGTAGCTATGATAATAATATTATGATAGATACACCAATATATTCTATGGGCTGTCACTATCCCTATCCCTAAACACCCGATCCCTACCCCTAAACACACACATCACTGGTCGTAGTCGTCAGTGAAGAGGAATTAATAAATCAATTAATATTACATACAATGAATGCAACAAAACAAATCACAGGTACAGCACTAGTGGCCTAACCCAAGCGCAGCATTTAATATATGGGGCTTTAGGTGCGACAGAGGCCAGGGATGGATAGGCACTGGCACTCAAGCATACGGTACGAGGTATTGATCACAACCACTCCATTGGGAGCACTCATACACTACACTATTCATAAAGTTATATATATAAAAAATTTCAATATAAATCACGTGCGAAATACAGGGTATAACTACTTGTTATAAGTATAGCTAGAAATGGCAGCACTTATTGCGCGAGCATTTGAATGCGAAGCGCGTGTTAACAATACGCTAGAGATTTGGTCGGGGAGAGAGAGAGAGAGAGAGAGAACTGTAAGGGGGAGAGAGAGAGACACATATATACTAACATACATACAGTGCCACACAGTTATGCACGCGCTGTATGTTTGGGCGGTTTTAGTTAGTAAGAGAGAGAGAGAGAGAGCACAGGGAGGGGGAGAGAGACACGTCTCGTATGAATGCCATCTGTGCGCCCCATCGGACTCGTGTTGGTCCGTACGTACATATTATGTATACCCCCTCTCCTCCTCACACACACCCCAACCCCTCCATTGAGACACTGAAAAGGTTCACTAAACCAGAAGTATTTGACGAGAGAGAGAGAGAGAGAGAGAGAGAGAGAGAGAGAGAATGGGAGATAACTACTAGTTGTAACATCGGTGCTCTCAATTACTGTGCTCTCTCTCCTTCTCTCTCTCTCCCGTATGCAAATGGTGAGCAAATATGCGCCGGGAGTACACATTATTTTGCGGGCCCTTAGAAAAAGCAACGGTACTTCTGTTTTGTCAACAGGAAAAGTGCTCTCTTGGTCTCTCTCTCCCTCTATCATCTTTGGGGGCTGTTGGCCAAGAGAGAGAAGGCTCAGAATTACCATCATCTCGCTCTCTCTTACTAACTAAAACCGCCCAAACATACAGCGCGTGCATAACTGTGTGGCACTGTATGTATGTTAGTATATATGTGTCTTTCTCTCTCCCCCTTACAGTGAGTACCGACCAAACAATAGCCACCACTAGAATGGGACAGATGTTGGCACTGGTAGTGGTGTAGAGATGGATGGATCGGTAGTACCTCTCTCTCTCTCTTTCTTTCTCTCTCTCTCTCTCTCTCTCTCTCTCGGCAGTGACTGTCGTAACAATAAATAAGCCTTTTTTCGTTCAGACGTTTGTCTGCCTATTGTTTGGTATACTATAAGAAGTATAGAAATAAGTTTTTTACTCTCTCTTTCTTTCTCTCTCTCTCTCTCTCTCTCTCTCGGCAGTGACTGTCGTAACAATAAATAAGCCTTTTTTCGTTCAGACGTTTGTCTGCCTATTGTTTGGTATACTATAAGAAGTATAGAAATAAGTTTTTTCTGGTCGTCTTTGAAGAGGGGCTGGGGATGGGGTCCAGGAGTGTAGGCATAGACTTAAGACATTAGTATACACACGTCTTGAGCGATGGTATGCAAAATATATGTACACATTTTTGAAGGGCAGCTGCAGAGAGAGAGAGAGAGAGAGAGAGAGAGAGAGAGCACCGGACGATCAATCGGTTATCAATGCATACATAAACTACTGAAATATTTTTTAAAAACTCCCGTTTGAATGAACAATACATAATACATATGAGATGTACCCTATGGGCCAGTGTTTGGACACTAGCGGGTGGCTGTTGGGAGGGGTAGTGTGTATGTGTACATGGTGCAAACATGAATAAATGTATGTGTCTATGGTAAAAAATTTTCATCAGTGGGCTATTTGTTTAAAAATATTCAAATACTCGCATCAAACAAAAAATTCAATCAATGTATTCACGCATAAAAAACTATAGGTGTGTTGTGTAACGAATAGCTGGGCGTTGTGTGGGGGCACAGGTAGGGGGGCTTTGGGCCTTTACATAGCGATGTGCAATGTGGCACCAGGGTCGCCTGCACCTGGTCCATATATCTATATAAATTTTTGCTGCACCTTAACTATCGTTGAGCATCGGTTGGTGTATAAAAAAACTTTCATTTGAATTGTAATGTATAGCCAGACGTCTCTCTCCCACAACACCTGTTGGATGCGCTCAACAGACATAACAATATGTGTTATACAATAGTGAGAGTAAAAGCAAAATCTCTTATACAATATGAATGCATTCCTCGAGAGAGAGAGAGAGAGAGAGAGAGAGAGAGAGAGAGAGAGAGAGAGAGAGAGAAAGAGAGAGAGAGAGAGCAATAATAGTGCTCATTATATAACAGGCCTGTCGTTCCTATCATTCTCTCTCTCTCTCTCTCTCTCTCTTTGATAGTCAAAAACCTACTGCCAAATGGTACTCAACTGCTGTCAACACAGACATAATGGTGAGTGAGTGAGTACGAGAGAGAGAGAGAGAGAGAGAGAGAGATCTCTCTCTCTCTCTCTCTCTCTCTCTCTCTCTCTCTTTGATAGTCAAAAACCTACTGCCAAATGGTACTCAACTGCTGTCAACACAGACATAATGGTGAGTGAGTACGAGAGAGAGAAAGAGAGAGAGACTTATATAAATGCATAAGAAATAAGAAAAAATTGTCCCAAAAAAATATTCCGTATTTTTCTTATTGTCAAATATCTTACTGCAAACAAAAATTATAAGATTTAGGTAAAATTCATTGAAATCAATTGAAATGCAATACGATATATAAATGGATTTGATGAAAATCGACCCCGGACGCGTTTTATCATGATCGTTTTCCAATAATACCGCTTTTGTATCAATACATACGATATTTATTGTGTATTACCGATAAAAAATACTAAATATCTAGATCGATGGGACAACCCTCCACCGGCGTGCCCCACCAAATGGACAGTAGTATTAACGGTGGCACTTATCGATGTGCCAAATCTGTTACCTAGAGTGTAATTTTAATCCCTCGCATTCACATAGTGTACAATTGAAGTATATGCTCGGGGTATTTTTTGATTCACCAAATATAATAACCATCCCTTTTATATAATAACTATATTATTGGATATGTTTTTTGGT